AACGCCTGCCCTAGCTGGCTGAGCAGATGCTCGTGAGGGCACCGTGGGTGAAGATGCGTGTTGCCCGAACAGGTGGTTGGTGGTTTGGCTGCAGCGCTAGATTGGCAGCCATGTGGCACCTGCCACCCCAGCCTCACACTCTCCAGCCCCCGCTGCCCACCCTTGCGCAGTGCGACGACCCCAAATGCATGGGGCCCCCAGTCTGCACCCCCGCCGGCAACTGTGCTCAGTGCCAGCCGAATCTTGGGCTCGACAATAGCGGCAACTGCATCAAGGTGGGTGGTGTCAAGCCACTGGCCAGCAGAAGCAAGCTCCGGATCCGTGGCAGCGCCGGCAGTGGTGCCGCCGCCTCCCCGCCCACCCGATCCCCCAAGCGCCCACTCCGGGGCCCAGTGCCAAGCCACAAACTTCTGCATGCACGTCCTGGCATGCCTATCGGGCACACTTATTGCCGTTGCCTGCCTGCCTGCCTGCCTGCCTGCCTGCCTGCCTGCCTGCCGATCACCTGGTCAGCACCCGCCCACCTGCGCTGCCCGCCGTGCAGTGTTCCCAAGACACGTGCTGGGAGTGCAAGGGCACAGCCGCCAACTGCATCCAGTGGTGAGCATTCACGCCACGTGCTGGGGCGGGCGCGGGGGAAGTAGGGTGTTCTGTGCAGCACCACGAGACCGGTGCTGGCCCGCTTCACGCTGACCCCCTCCCTCGTGCTCCGCTTGCAGCACCGACGAAGGCGATTTCCCTACTTATATCAAGAAGGGCAAGTGCGTCCGCTGCAACGTGCCTAGTCCCTGCATTGGATGCGATGACAAAGGCGTCTGCACCCAGTGGTGAGGCTCCAGGCTGCACACTCCGCAGCATCGGATGCCTGGCTCAGTATGGTACAGGCCTCGGCTGCAGTGCCACCAGCTGCAGTGCCACCAGCTGCAGCAGTCTTGCCATGCATGCATGTTAATCCAGCCTGGGGCAGCCTGCCCAACGCGGCACATGTCAGAGCTATGCGGACGCAATTTAGCTGGCATGTGTGGCAGTGATGGGTCAGCCATGCAAAACACCAGGCGTGGCCCGTATCTTGCTGCCGCCATGGTAATGTCCCTGCCTGCTGTCCCATGCTCGCAGCCTGAATGGATATGCCGTCGTCAACGGGACCTGTGTCAAGGTGGGTAAGGCTGCCTCTAAGCTACACCCTGTCTGCAAGCGTGGTTCCCAACTGCCACGATAGCTTTGGCTGACGGGATGGTGTGCCAACAGCCAGCAGCCACATCGCCGCCCCTGGTCCGCCTTGTGCCCTGCTGCAGTGTGGCGCCAACTGTGAAGAGTGCTCGTCCAGGGCTCGCTGCACGATGTGCGCTTTTGGGTATGGCTTGAACTCCGCCGACAAGTGTGTGAAGTGCCCGGGCCGCTACTGCGAGGATTGCAACGGCAACAAGCCGCAGATTTGCAAGGAGTGCGAGCAGGCCGGCGACAGCGAGACCTGGCTGTCCAAGCAAAAAACATGCATCAAGGTGAGGTGAGGTCAGGGCTTTTGGGAGTTACCTGTGTTACCTGTGTTACAGTCACCCCGCTATGATAGGCCGCGTGAGCAGACCTTGGGCAGGGGGCACACGTGATCAAGGGGCATCAAGAGAGGGGGTGGACCATGGAGCACCCTCTCCATGGCTCCGACCACCCTCCCCCCAGCTGAGCGTCCCAGGGTCACCCCAACCTGGCCCCGCTCCCCGTCCTGCCGGACACGCAACCCCCACAACGTGGTGGGGGACGTGGGGATCCTTAGCAGCTTAGGCCTGCCAGGCCGACGGGTGCCGATGCTGGTGCCGCAGCTGATTCTGCAGGGCAGGACGGCATGCGAGCGGGTACAGCTGGAGTACCTGCGAGGGCTGCTGGGTGTGCGGGACAGCACCCCAGCCCTCATTGTGCTGGCAGAGACGGGGCAGCTGCCGCTGCCCGCCTACTGGACCTTGCAGGTTGCACGCTTTGTGAGCAACCTGCAGGCTATGGGCGGCGAGCGGGTCGCCCGTCTTGCCATGCTGGATAGCGTTGCGCTGGCTGCCGACACGGACACAGGGCTGCCACTGGCCCGGCAGCCCTGGGCAGCGCAGGTTAGCCGCGTTCTCGCGGCGGCCGGCGCCCCCTGCGACTTGACTGCTGACGAGGGGGTTGCC